TACATCACTTTTAATGTGCATATCTATATATAAGGAAGTTTAGTAACAACTAAGATTGTTTCGTCACTTGGGAAAATCTTAACTTCTCCGAAAATATAGATGGAACAAACACATGGAATTTTACAGATTCATAAAAAGATCTTATACAACTGTATGACTATTGAGGTCCGTAATTCTAGACACTTTGAATTTATCCAAAAATGCTATGTAACTGTATGACTATTGCAGTCATAAATCTTAGCACTTTGACTTTAACTATTAGCAATAAATTCTCAAATGACGTTTCTTATCCTTCCATAAATAACTTTTTCCCTCAATTTAGACAACAATTTTGAATTGAAATGTTTCACAATTTTGTTGAAATATAGTTATATTACTGCTTTGGATGATGGATTGCAACCATTGAAACTTGGCTAAGTGCCAAGGGGAGACGAATTGTGTAACATTTCATTGCATGGTAAGTCGCTTAAAGTTAATCAAAATTTGACACAATGTAATATAAATAAAATATGAAGTCCTTATTTCACACTGGTAGAATAGGATTATCCTAACCCATAATTGGGTTTCTAAATATCATTTGACTTTAAGTTTATATACTTATAATTATATAAGTTAAATTGTAAATGATGGACGATATGCATTCTATGGTTGGGACCAAACCTAGGATAAATACCTTAAATATTGGGGGGGGGGGGGGGGATGGTCAAAGTTACGGCCATAACTTCCCAAAAAACGGCAACGGTTCTGCACTCCGTAAACCAAGAATTATGGCCTTCTAGGGGAAGTTACGATCAAGGCCATAATCTGGAATCTCGGGCAGTAACTTTGAAGTAGACCTCTGCTTCTCTGCCTTGAATTTATGACCCAATATGGAGAGTTACAGCCCAAGCTGTAACTTTGGAAGCCTGGCCATAACTTTGGGATAGTCTCCTCGACTCCTTGCCTCCAAACGCTCAATGTTACGGTCTGGCAAGGGAAGTTACGGTCCAGGCCGTAACTTGGAAGGTTTGGTCATAACTCTTTCTTGCCCCGTTGTCGGATCGCTCCAACTCATCCCAAAACTTGCTCCCACGCGCCCATTCACATACCAGGACCCGAAAAATAAAAAACTAGCACAACCTAGCGTAAAATAGGTCACTAGATAATGCAAGCTTAAATGGTCAATAAATGTTGGGAAAAGCATGCTTAAATACGACGTCATCAAATTTCCCCACACTTAACTATTTGCTTGTCCCCAAGCAAACCTGACTCAAACCAATGCAACTCTCTAGACCTTTATAGCAACATGCAATCTCAATCGTTGGTAGAGGATTTCCCAGATCATTTAGCTGCTTACGAGGTCAACCAGTCTTCTAAGGTATCCCCTAGGACAGGTAATTCATGGATGAAGAGACTACTCACAACACAACAACCATGGACTCTTCGTATTAGGTGGTTTTTCCCTTTCATTTCATTCGTTGGAACCCCTTTTTCTTTTTCTTCATAGTGTTCATCACTTTGCTGGGGTTCCAAACAACAGTTTTTTGCGCGGTCGACCCTTATTGGTTGAGCAAGAGCAATTTTTGTACATCTGTCGCTCGTCATAGTACTTCGTTTAAATCCTTTTCCTCAATTCTGTGGAGGGTCAATGAACTAAGGGGGTCAGAAGCTCTATCTGTGCCCTTAAAAACACATATCGTCGAGTAGGCGGTCCACTCAACGGGTGGAATTTTTACTTGTACTAGAGACGGTTTAGCTTCACCTTGTAGGCCTATCCCATCAAGGATCACTAATATCTCTTCCAAAACCTGATTTTGTGCAATGAATGGTGGCACACACGTTGGGTTTACCCATGCTTCAAATTTCTGACATGGAGTACCAACTGCCTTATATTAAGCACAACTGAGCACCATTTCATGATACATGAGTCCCAAACTCACGGAGAGTCATCGATACCACATGATTCAAAGATCCTATAACCACTAGTTCACACAATCAACCAGCACAACAAGGAGAAAGATAGGAAAGATCTTATACTGTAGCATCCTCCATAGTGCTACAACTACCTCCTAGGTTAAATAGTACTATAAAGACTGTCAATTCAAAGCATATAGAGCAGGCAATTGCAAGGAGCACGTACTTGGAGCCCTCAAATCTTATAATTTGGACAGTGGACTAGGCACCAAGCACACAAACACATCGATGCAGTCAAATATAAACACCCCTCACACTTAAGATCGACATTTGCCTCAATGGAGAAGAGGGAAAGATAAGGGTAATGATGTTACCAGGAAGATCGAGATCGACTACAACAAGACTAGAGAAAGGACCAGTCGACAGGACCATACAGGAAGAGGGGGATATGATCCCAATTGACCCACTCTACAAAGTGCTATGGATTGATCAAGAAGCAAGCTCACAAAGCCATAAGAACCCTAACATTTGATTAAATGTTGTTCATGTCCCAAGCTACCTACTTTGCAGGTGGGGGTCTCTCAAATGGGTCGATGGAAATTCAAAAGTTAGGCTTGGTTATGAAGATGGAGTGTTTCTCTATAGGTTGGAGTGCTTGGATGCTCAAGAGGAAGCCCGTAAACCCATTTTTGAAGCTGATCAAAAGGCTATGCCAAAACCGGCAAGTAGCCTAAAAATGGCTGTGTTGGAGACAGTTTGACAACCCAAGTTTGAATGCCTCTTCGAGAAAAATGGGTGAGAGTCGAGTCCACAGCTTTGTTCCACATCTGATTACAGGTTTTCTACTACAAACGCAAGGAATTGGCTGATTGATTTGATCCTTAGAAGGCTTCGGACAAGGAATCCAAAGATCGTATGAAGCCTGAGTTTTGACTTGCATCCCAAGACATTATGTTTTTCCATGTTGCATTCGGATTCCTTTTAAGTGTTGGTTTTGAATTCATTTTCAAGTTGTAACCTAGTTAGAACTTCCTTATGAGTTGTTAGGTGTAGTTAGGGTCTATTTAAGCTGAGTCTTTCATTATAATAATAAATTTTTTTCACAATTGAATACAAACCTAGTTTGATTAATTAAGCTTGTTTGCTTGACGAATTGAGAAGGGTTGCTTAGTGGATTTCTAAGAAATCTTAAGCTTGTATCAATCAGTTCATCACCCTGATTGTGGCCAAGCATCGTTCTGTAGAGTTCAAGCCTCTTTCCCAAGTGAAATTTGCACCAAATCTTTACATCCAAACACCAAACCCAACCCTGTTTTTGGTGTTCGTATTCGAAGGAGATCAATTCTTTGATTTGATCTTCTTTGGCTGTGCGGATTCTGATCAAACAACCCCCTAGGGTTGAATTAGAGGGACCAGTCATAAGGACACGGAAAAGAACACTTTGAGAACACTACCAAGGAAAAACAAACACTCACACTGGGTAAGAGTTAGGATAACAGTTGTCAGCCCAATAGGAAGAAACTAAAGAAAAATAAATACAAATCACACACAAAAATTTCCAGTTCAATACATAAAATTCAAAACACAAAACATAGAACATAGAGCCCGTGGTCAATGAGAATCCTCAAGCAGCGCCATCGTCATTGTCTGGAGAAGGCTGCCAGAAGGTCTGGGTGAAAGTAACATGGCATTCGTGCGCAGGTGCTCTAGTAGAAAGTGGGAGTAGCAGCGGCTGTCTTGCTCATGATCTCGACGAGGCTCGATCTTATCAAACTGAGCCTCCATGGTCGCCAATTAGGCATCGAGGGAATATCTGAAGAAGAACCGGCACTAGGGGTATCACTGTTGAAGCAAGGGGGTCACTGGTGCATTACAAAGACATAAGGGAATCCTCTGATATGAAAACGTGACAAATGGGCAACTGAAAGTGGTCTTCGCCTGATCCTCCTGTGCGTTCGGGATCTGGAAATGTCATCCAGGAAGCAGTAGATCTTGTGTCCCGCCAGCCTCTCCAGTATCTCGTCAATGAAAGGTGGAGGAAAATGGTCCTTCTTGGTGGCATCATTTAGACGTCGGTAGTTGATGCAAACACGCCACTCAATCACAGTCTAAATCGGGATCAACTTGTTCTTCTCATTCGGGACCACAATGATCCTGCTTTTCTTCAGGACCACCTGAGTGGTACTAACCCACTATCTATCAGATATATCAAAGATGATCGTGACATCCATCAACTTCATTATCTCAGCCCGGACCACTGCCTTCAGGTTAGGAGTCAACCTCCGCTGCGGCTGCCTGAGTGGCTTACCTCATCGTCCATCAGAAGTTTGTGGGAGCAGAAAAATGGGATAATGCCTTTGATGTTAGTGATCTTCCATGCCATGGCCCGAGCATACTTCTTCAATAGAACCACCAGACTGCTCTTTTGTTCGGGGATTAGTTCTGAGCTTATGATTACCAGGAGCTTATTCCTATCTCACATAAATGCATACTCCAAATGAGAGGGGAGGGGCTTAAGCTCCAGCTCTGGTGGCTCCTCCAGTTATGTAGCGATACGAGGCGAAAAATCGATCGGCTGTAATGGCTTCTATTGCCCCTCGATCGCGGCTTCCTCCAAATCTGTGAGCTGTTCCGTGAGCTGCAGCTCCCATGATGCTTGTTCCCCTAGCATAAGACGACGCTCAAGGAAATCATTACTACACACACTCGCTAAGGCGAGTGCGGTCTCAAAATCAGCAACCACATCACAGTAATCTACATCATCATGGGGCTGGGGGTGTTTCATATTATCAGAAACAGAAAAGGTGATTTGTTCACCCCCAGTCCCGAAAATCAGTTTACCATCATTAACATCAATAAGCGCCTTGGCGGTGGCGAGAAAAGGTCAACCAAGAATCAAAGGCACATCATATCCTCATTAATGTCAAGAATTGAAAAATCAGTAGGATATACAAATGGCCCTACTGTGACTATCAAGTCCTCTATAATGCCCGTAGGATGCACAATAGATCAATAAGGTAATTTCCTGCTCATCCTAGTATTACTGGGTTCACCTAGGCATAGCTTCTTAAATAGTTTATATGGCATGACGTTTATGCTGTCACCTAAATCAGCCAATGACTTTCTTACATGCAAGCTACCTATAATGAAAGGGATAGTAAAACTCCCTTGGTCTTTGTGCTTCTTCGGTAGCTTGTTTTGCAGGATGGTAGAACATTCCTCGGTAACATCACCATTGATAGCTCCCCTAGCTTCCTCTTGTTAGTGAGGAGGTCTTTCACAAACTTGGCGTACTTGGGCATTTTCGGCAATGCCTCTATGAAAGGCATGTTGATGTCTACCTGCTTCAGCATTGCCACGAATTTGGCAAACTTAGTTTACAATCGGTCTTTGTGCAACCGAGTAGGGAAAGGGAGTTGAGGGACTTAATACTTCACCACTAGTTGGGGCTTAGGAGTAGACACCTCTCTCTCCTTCTCCATTTCTTCCTCATCAACTGGAAGGGTTGAAGCAAGTCTCTCTTCCCCATGTTTTTCCTAGACGGGGATCTCCGCAGTCACCTTCCCGCTCCTAGTGTAACAGCATTGTAGTGTGCATCCGGGTCTCTCGGATTATTTATGGTATGACTAGGTAAGGTATCCGGGGCCCTCTATGCCACAGCTTTAGCCACACTCTCAAGTTGGGTTTGTATAACTCGCAAAATAGCCTGTGTGTTCCTCTAACCAGCTTCAAGCTTCAGGAACTTTCCTAAGGCCGGTTCCATGAACTGCTCAATATTTTTGAATTTTTGTGAGCTAGAACTAGCAAGAGAACCCACTAAGTCTTGCATCTCACCCATCGAATCACGTTTACTGGGGCTGTGTCCGGCTTCTGAAATTGTCGCTGTTGTTGGTGAGGAAGAGCTTGCCCTTAAAGAGGATGCTTTTGTTGTAATTGGCCCTGGCGGGCCTGTAATGGTTGTCTCTAAAAGCCTGGTGGTGCCTGGAGAGAATTAGGATTGGTGTTGCCACCAAGGAGAAATTAGGATGCTGGCACCACCCTTCGTTGTAAGTGTTGTTGTAGGGGTAGATGTGCCTGACATTGCCGATGAAGTCCAACTGCTCCTGAGGTGTGGTAGATTCCCTCATCGCCTAAGACTCTTCAACCATGTGGTTAATGCTCTCGCACCACTAGAAATACATCGGGTGAGGCTGGACTGCGCTTGTAAACATCCCATTATGGTCGATAGTTGTAACCAGCTTAGAGACCACATCCACCAGAGAAGATGACTAGGTATCCACAACATACACACCTTGGCCCGGAGCTTGCCGAGATCTCTTTGTAGACCACCAATCATTACCCTATTCTTCCATATCTTCAAAGAGCTGGTTCAACTACGGGGGCGTCTTGGTTAGCATGTTCCCGCCAAAGATCGAGTCAATCAGCTGCTTGTCTTCAGAAAAGAGAGCCCGGTAGAAGGTGAGCACCTTGAAGGCATCAGTGAACATGTGGTTGGGGCTCTTCAAGAAGATACCTGAGTATCTCTCCCAGGTATCTCGGAGAGTCTCATCATCCTCCTGCGTGAAGTGGGTGATCTCCTTCTGCAGATCTGTTGTCCGATCTGTCAGCAACAAAGACCTTGTCCAAGTCCTTCTCCGCAGCTAGTCTCGCCTTAAGTGCTTTCTTGAGCTAGCAACAAGTCCGTTCAAGTTCGTGATCCAAAGGCTATAGATTTATCGAATGGCTACGGGTCATGCATTGCCTGTATACAAACTGCAAGCACAACCCATGAAGGCAAGCAGGTGGAGAAGAGAAAATGCAGAAAAGTAAATGCTAAAGTAACATATTTTCACGTTTTTGCAATAACCTAGTCGCTCTGGCAATGGCGCCAAAAACTTGACTCGCTAAAACACAACACCAAACTACGACCAAGTGTAATCGTAGTATAGAAATGCAGTATAGTGGGTCAGTTTTAATTGTCAACCCAGGTCCTAGATTTAATTTCTAACTCGTGCGTATCTATTATTTAGTGGTTTAGTTCGAGTGAAGTGTTCAAAAGTAAATTAAATGGAAACATGAAATGTTCTGGTTTCAAGTATGCAAAAGGTCATCCAGATATAAGTCCTCCTAGTCTACAGTTAATTCAGATTATAATTACCCAATTTGTTTCAAACGACAGATATACTATGGAAAGTTCTTGACAAATCTGGAATATCGACTAAAGAATTCTAGACCCTCTCAGTTCGAATAACCAGCGGGTGCCTAACCTCCACCACGTAAGCTAAGAGAGGCAATAGGACAACAAACTTTCACTACTGGTTTCAATTCCAGTATAGAGCACAAAATCGATTCCTAGAGTAAAGTAATCGATCCACTACTTCCAACTAAGGTTGCTCTATTAACTTGTGCAGAGACTATCTTTCTAAGTTAAAGCAGGAATCACAAAAGTTTGATTAGGACTCATAGAATTCTGCATAATGCCTCAATTGAATATATCAAGTCAATTATTCATCAACTGGGTTGATACAACCTAACATACACGACTAGGGTTCTTCATATCCGGATGAAAAGAGAGTTTACGAAAAGAGAAGAGAAATTGCAAAGCTTGGAAGAGAAATCATCATGTGAGGGATGAGAATCTGCTCTCGGCTGGAAATCAACACTCCGAGGGTGAAAAATCGAGCTCCAATGTCCTTAGATCCCTCCAATCCTTTCCCAAAGTTGTTCTTTGTCACTTTCTCTCTTGTTGTTTTAGACCTTGAAAAATTAGATCCCTTCAAATCTGCCTGAGTCAGCCTTTTATATGTGGGAGATGCTTGAGTTATGGCCAAAATTACGGCCGTAACTTGCTTTCCCATCCCGTAACTTCCACAAAAATGGCAACGTTTCTGCACATCGTAAACCAAGAGTTACGGTACTCTACGGGAATTTATGGTCAAGGCTGTAACCTGGACTCTCGGCCTGAACTTTAAAGTAGACATATGCTTCTTTACCTTGAAGTTACGGCCCAATCTGGAGAGTTATGATCCTGGCCGTAACTTTGGAAGCCTGGTCCTAACTTTGGGATAGTCTCATGGACTCCTTGGCTCTGAGCCCTCATGTTACGGGCTTACAAGGGAAGTTACGGTCCAGACCGTAACTCTTTATTGCCCCTCTGCCGGATCGCTCCAAATCGTCCCAAGCCTTGCTCCCACGCGCCCATTGACGTACCAGGACAAGTAACATCACAAACTAGCACAACCTATCGTAAAATAGGCTAGGGGAGTGATAATGCAAGCTTAAACAATCAAGAAATGTCGGGAAAAACATGTGTAAATACGGTTTCATCATCAGGGTTGGTGGGTTTATTAGAGATTGGATTTTTTTAGAAGAAAATTAGGAATCTTCCATCTAGTTTAGAGGAAGCTGAGGCTCGAGCTACACTAAAAAGAATCAAGGAATCTAAGATTTATGCATTCCTTATGTCATTGAAGGGGACATAATGGAAGTGAAGAAGAATCTGCCATCCTAGTTGCATAATGTAAGTGAAGAAGCTGCAATCCCAGTTGGAGAAGGATTCAAAGAAAAAAGAATAAGAAAGGGAACGACAATGTTTTACCATAACGACAATGTATCAGTTAGTTTTATTAGCCGTTAATGTTTACTATTTATTTGATTATTGAACCAAACATTCAAGGACATCTGCCTCGTTTTGCTTAAGTACAAGTACAAAACTATAAAAGCTGAATGAGGACTCAGATCTCAACAAAGCTTCCTCTTCCCAAATTCTCCTATAATTTTCATGGTATCATAGCAGCTCGAGCTCTAGGGTTCATCAGATGCAAATGACATAATTTCAGGAGGATAGACTCCACCTAATCAAACATCACCAAACAATGGTAGTAGTGGCAGTGGAGCAACGACAACCTTCATATTTGGTTCATTTGAGAAACCACAACCACAAACAGAGACCATAACCTTTGGTAACCCTTACTATCTTAACCCAAATGAAAACATGTCTCAATCACTCATAGCATAGCAATTTGATGGAACAAACTACACCATGTGGAGTAGATCTATGCAAGTAGTTCTAAAATCAAGAATAAAGTTGGTTTCATATATGGGTCGACTCTTGTTATAGCTAGAGTTGCAAATTTGTTTGGGGTATAGGATGCATGTAACACAGTTGTTCTATGTTGGATTTAAAACTCCATGGCCAAGGAACTTAGGAGATCTGTTTTGAATTGTAGCAACTCAAAGACACTATGGGATGAGCTTAAATGAGCTTTTGGTCATCCTAATGCTATGAAAATTGCAAACAGAAGATGAAATCCATGCTTAGGAGATCTGTTTTGAATTGTAGCAACTCAAACATACTATGGGATGAGCTTAAAAGAGCTTTTGGTCATCCTAATGCTATGAGAATTGCAAATAGAAGATGAAATCCATGCTTGTAAGCAGGGTTCCTATACCATCAATCAATATTACATTGTAATTAAGGTGCTTTGGGATGAATATGTTGAGTTTTGTCCTATTATACCTTGTCCCTATGCACCTAGAAATCACTTGCCATGTGCAACAGTTGAAGCATTTGTGCATAAGCAAGAAACAAAATATTTAATCCATTTTCTTAGGGGTGTCAACCTTGACTATGACGTGATTAAGACACAACTCTTTATGCAGAAGCCTTTGCCCACTGTATCTGCAGCTCTGGATGACTTACTACAACATGAACAAAAACTCAAGGCTCATGCAGCAATAGGGGGAAAGAAAGGGCAACCACTAGCTTTAGCAGTAAGAGGAAATACTCTAAGTGATTCCATAGAACAAAGAGGAAATAAGTATTGTAGGTTTTGTAAGATGAATAATCACACCATTGATGAATGTTGGAAGTTCAAAAGGAAACAAAAGCAGCATAAGGACGAAAATACAAATGGAGGGTCCAACTCTATTTCAAGTTCCAATTCCAGTACCCCTAAGTTTGTTGGTTCCATTTCTCCGGTAAGTGAAATGAGTGTCCCTCAGAAGGTAGTGCGACTGATGAAGGTAAGAACCAAGTTCCACTTGTATTTACTGTAGAAGAAATGAGTCATCTCAGGTTTCTTTTGCTAGCTGGTGTTAGCACAAGCCCTTCACCACCTAAGTCACCATCCATCAATCATTAGGCATACTCAGCTTCTTAATTTCCCCTCTTAATTTCCAAAATCATGTGTTGTCTTCTTCTCAAAATAGTATAACCCATGATTTAAGTTTGTGGATCCTAGATACAGGGCTCCAGATCACATTGCCCGTAGTCCTAACCTGTTTAACAGTTATAAGCCAGTCTGAAACACGTTTGTTTACCTTCCAAATAGCAACAAAGTGTTAGTTACATTTGTAGACTGCTACATTGGCATGTGGTCTGACCTTGCATGATGTGCTTTTTTAGTACCCAAAATTTCCTTCAATCTCATCTCTGTTGGCAAGCTTGCATGACTGTGCTTTTCCTTACACTTTCATTCTTATCAATGTGAAACCCATGACCTATTAATCCGGAAGATGATTGGTTTAGAAAAAAACAACCAAAGGCATTTACCAATTGTCTTTAACCTCAAGACCAGAAGACTCCCCAACTAGCTCATCAACACCAAAACAACCACTTCCTCGAATTCCACCCACAAGACTTGAACATATGGCATTGGAGGCTAGGACACCCTAGTCATGATAGACTTTCATTGCTTAGAAATGTTAACCCTGCTCTAACCATTTTTAAGACAATTCATTGTGAGGTTTGCCATTTCTCTAAACAAAGAAAATTACCCTTTCCTGTTAGTACTAGTGTTGCACGTGAGATTGTTCACTTAATGCATATGAATATTTGGAGACTCTTTTCCACACTTCTTAAGATGGTTATAACTATTTTCATACCATTGTGCATGATTTTTCTCAAAGTGTTTGGGTCTATGCAATGAGACACAAAAGTGAAGCAAGGGGACTCATTCAAGGTTTCTATAACCTTGTGAAGAATCAATTTAATACCAGTGTCAAGATCATTAGAACTGACCAGGACACAGAGTTTGAAATGTGTGAGTAATTTTCAGAAGAAGGCATAAAACACCAAGTCTCATGTGTAGAGACTCCAGAACATAATGGAAGGGCGAAATTTCAGTCAAACTGCCACTGAAATCCTAGAGTGACTTTTTCCTTTATGCAGTTTATCTCAATAATAGAATCCCTACCCCACTTCTTAGCAACAAAACACCTTATGAAGTTTTTTCAAAAACAAACACCATTCCTGGACACTTAAAGGTCTTTGGCTGTATGTGTTATGTAAATACTTCGGTTCATGGCAGAACAAAGCTTGCACCAAGAGTTAAGTAGTGTTTTTCTTGGAATACCTACTGGGATTAATGGGTATAAGGTCGTAGACATCCATGAAAAGAAGGTTTTCATTTATAGGGATATTTCTTTCTATGAAAATATCATACCCTTTAAAACTTATGACACTCCACTTAGCTCTCCTAGCTCCACCACTTCCTTTCATGTTCAAAATCATGTGTTAGAACCTCAATTACACATTCCTTTTTCCCTTGTACCACCTAATGTTCCCACAACAACCTCTCCTCATCAGTCTGATTCATCTACAGATGAAGGGTGACACACCGGTATATGGAATTGACTTCCTAGACACTTACTCTCCTGGGGAAAATATAAACATAGTAAAAACTTTCTTCACTATAGCAAGTGTTCAACATTGGGTTCTAGAGCAGTTGGATGTCTCCAATACTTTTCTGCATGAAGATTTAGATGAGGTAGTATATATAAAGATACCTATTGGAGTAACAGTACCTTCAAGAAGAAATCAAAGGATGACTTACAAATTAAAGAATTCATTATATGGCCTGAAATTGGCCTCAAGACAGTGGTTTGCTAAGCTGACAAGCTTACTACTGGAGTTTCTTTTTTCAGAGTCAATATATGATTATTAACTTTTTAATAAGTGGACTCATGAAAAAATCACAGTGTTGTTGGTCTATGTAGATGATATCATTGTGGTGGGAGATTCTTAGAAGGATATTGAACAAGTAAAGGCAGCCCTAAGCAAGGAATTCAAGATCAAGATTTTAGGACCTCTTAAGTACTTTTTGGGTTTTATAGGTTAATAGAAGTCGGAATGGATTGGATGTGTGTCAAAGAAAGTACTACATAGAACTATTAAAGGACACACGCTACCTTGAATCAAAAGGTTGCTAGACACCAATTGAAACGAAAGTGAAACTGAGTTCTAAAGGGACATTGCTAGACGATGCAGAAACCTATAGAAGCTTAGTGAGAAGGTTACATTATATGAACATCTCAAGACCTGACATTGTGTTTGTGACAAAAACTTTGTCGATACCATAAAACATCATATGTTGAGCATTTATAAGCAACTTACAAAGTACTCAGGTACTTGAAGTCATCACCAAATCAAAAGATCCACTTTAACAATGAGGCTAAGTTTAAAATGACAACTCAAATGGGCAAGCTGCCTGATACACAAAGATCAATCTCAGGCTATTGGAATCTTCTTGGAACCTCCCTGATAACTTGGAAAACAAAGAAGTAGACCATAGTTTCGAGATCCTCATGAGAGGCAGAGTATAGAGCCCTTGCACACATGGTATGTTATGTAGAATGGTTGAAGATGTTATTAGCTGAATTGTCAATTAAAGTGCCATTCCCTATAACAGTTTATTGTGACAACATATTGAGATAGATGCTATTCATATAGTATAAAATCCATTCTTCCATGAGAGGACTAAGCATATTGAGATAGATATGCATGTGACGAGGATGAGAATTAAGAATGAACTGATTAAGTTGAAGTATATAAACACAGTTGAACAACTTGCATACATTTTTACTAATGGACTTGATTGATTCCGAATGAGAGATCTTTTGGTCAAGTGAAGAAGAAGGTGCAATCCCAGTTGCATAATGGAAGTGAAGAAGCTGCAATCCTAGGTGCAGTAGGATTCGAAGAAGAAAGATGAAAAAAGGGAACGACAACGTTTTACCAGAACAATGACTTAACAATTAGTTTTATTATCCATCAATGTTTACTGTTATTTCATTATTGAACCAATCATGTAAGGAAATCTGTCTCGTTTTGCATATTTACAAGCACACACCTATAAAAGCTGAAAGAGGACTCAAACTTCAACGAAACTTCCTCTTTGAAAATTCTCTCATAATCGTCAGATGGAGAGCAATTTTAAAGCTTGATTGCTTTCTAAAAAAAGCTTCATTGGCTATCTTGTGAGGAAGGAATCAAGAGAATGGAAGTAGGAGTTTTATGTAAGGAAATTCTGGATATTTGAAGCCGAGATGAGGAAGTTAGGGTGGGGTGGGGTTGTTTCTTCCATTGGTATTTGGTGAGCTTTCACTATAGGCAGGCTAATGGAGTGGCTCAAGAGTTTTCCCACTTTTAAGGTCCATGGAATATGATTAATCATGGGTTGATACCCCGTAAAAACTGCTAGGTTTGATTGCCTATGATGATGTTGTAGGCCTAAATGGCCTAGCTTAATTTGCATAATAAAATAGATTCAAATTCCTGTAAAAACATCATTGATATGTAATTGTAAATGATAGAGAATTACAATGAATAAAGTGATCTAGGTATTTCAAATTTAATTATCTAGAACTCATTAGGAGAACACAAAAAAAGATTCATGATAAAGTCTAAATTTACGTGGTACGTAACCAAGATTGTATTCCTACGGGGTATTTTAAATCCTATTATTCAGATAGAGAGGATCTTGTTTGGAAATAGTTTGTTTAAGGTTGAAGTGCATCCGGTTTGGTAAAGTCTTCGTAACGAAGTAACGTAGGAATCAGAAAAAAATTAAATTAAGGAAATATGACTTGAGTTAAGCAATGAAGAAAAGCATTGCTTGTATTGTTCTCCTTAGAGTTTCCATATAGTTATCAAAACATGCAATTGAGAGCTTGTTGTCTTCCTCTATTAATCATAATGTCTACATATGCACTTGTTGTCATTACACGATAAGGGCAATGTGATTTTAAAATAGCATGCAAGTTATATCATGGATTGTTGTAATGATTATCTTACACAATCAACATACTAGGAAAATATTTAACATTGGTGAACTCACAACATAAGAAAATTCGTTTTCAATCAATCTCATATAAATCACAAATAAGCAATATAATCAATACCATTAATAAATTGAGAGCTTGTTGTCTTCCTCTATTAATCATAATGTCTACATATGCACTTGTTGTCATTACACGATAAGGGCAATGTGATTTTAAAATAGCATGCAAGTTATATCATGGATTGTTGTAATGATTATCTTACACAATCAACATACTAGGAAAATATTTTACATTGGTGAACTCATATCATAATGAAATTCGTTTCCAATCAATCCCATATAAATCACAAATAAGCAATATAATCAATACCAATAAATGATAAGGATGAAAACAACACAAGCAAACTATATTAAGATCAAACCTACATGATAACAATCTTTAGAACCTCTAAGGTTCACAAACCTGCACAAAAAATGTCCTAGCACTCATAGGAACAGAAAATGGTAGAGCAATTAGTTTGGGAGACAATATTCTTGATTTCGAAATAGTCATACTTTCTGTCATATCATTGATTTGGCCTCCTTTTACCAAACCTCAGAATTTCTGGATGATTTTTGGTATGGAGCTGCTCTGGTGGTAGACAACCCTCTTATCTTAAGTTGTGTATCAATTGGAGCTTGATTAGTCTATTTATAGGCTCCCAAGTCATGTTTTTTAACAGGTATTCTACGAGAAAATCTCTCATAAAAGAATATCTTCTTATTATCTAAGATTGGAGCCAAAGGATGGAATATATGCTCTATTGAGTCGGAATAATCTTCATTACCAAAATTGGCGGATTTGGTGCCATTTGGGCTATTGGCGACGATTAGGGGGCTAGATTGGAGAGGTGGCTAGGTCAATTCTGACTTAGGGTTTTGGAAATCTGAATTTGTCATTGTTTTTTTTCTTTAAATGAAATGGCATCGTTTTTCTTGTAATCAAAGAACCGCCAGTTGGATCAATACCGACCGAAATTTCATGGCGGACTAGTTCGACCAAAAATACCGGGAAACACACATATTTCTATACAAAGTTAATATCGTTTCAAACCATTCCAATTTATCTTTTTTCTATTCGATCGGCCGGTCCATGATGCTAAGCATTCGTGGTAGTAGCTTTTTGTGTAGATTTTTCGGATAACTATTAGGATTTAGGACTAGTAAAGCACCAAAAGTGTTTTTGTAGGAAGGACTCTGACTATCTGTTAAGGGTTAACCATTGGTTTGTATTTTGTTTAGGTTCCTACTTCTGATTGTTGGGCGGTTCGTACCACCTGCTCGTGAGGAGATAGAGAGGTCGGGGACTGGACGGAGTAGGGGAGGACGTTCGAGTGGTCCTTCACCGTGGGAGCTTGTTGGTGAGTGTCCTGGTGGACCTAGGGATCCTAGCCTCAATAGGAGCTTCCGTGGCCACGCTTCCTATGCGCTTTGGACGGGGGTTGAAGATTCGAGGGGTCATCAGTTGCTACAGCCGTACATCGGCGGTTGATTATCTGGGTAGCTACGTGTTTAGTCATGTTGAGGCGGAGGATTTGGTTCAGTAGTCAGGTCTCCAGCACCTGATCTACTCTATGTTCCGCAAGATAGTGATTGACGAGGCTTTGATCTCAGCTTTTGTGGAGAGGTGGCAGCCAGACACGAACACCTTCCACTTGCCTTTTGGAGAGATGACGATCGTCCTCCACGATGTTCACTACTTAATGCAGATTCTGTTGAGGGACGACGGATGAGTAGGCAAGAGAATGGTTCAAAAACATGGGTCATAGTGGGAGTGACAAGTCGTGTAACCGGAGCTAATAGAGGGTTTCACAACCATGAAAAGGTGTTGTATCCAGAACATCACCGACACAAAAATTTTTTTAGTGAGGCTGAAAAAGAGAGGTTAATATTAATGAGGAAGGCGGGGGTGAGACCAAATCAGCAGAAGACGACACTCAATACTTAAGGGGGTGTGCATCATGATATCAAACAGATGTACAACAGAAATTACAAGACAAGATTGGATGATATGGGTGAAATGGATGCGATACAGTTTGCGCTTCACGGAGCTGAACAGCATGGGGTACCATATCTGTTTGCAAAAGGACTCTAATAATGTGCTCACTAATCTTTTTTTTGCGCACCCGACGTCCATTCAGATGTTGCATGCATGGCCGTACGTCATCCTCATTGACTCGACCTACAAGACAAACAGGTACGGCTTGCCATGGGTTGAGATTATTGGAGTCACTCCACTCAAGAAGAATTTCCACATTGCATGTGCAATTATTAAGCAG